TCACCTGCTGGAAAACGGGTCCAGCGTCCCTTTACAATAAGAACAGCATGGATGATGGAAATTGACTGCGACACCTGCCAACATTGATTGCTCTGGTATCCAGAGGATTAACTGTGCAGGTAATTATGGGGAGGGAGGAAACCTCTTCACCCTTGTACCAGGCGCCAGATATCCACTACTAAAAGGCTAGTCCCTTGTACTCTATATCATGGAAATTTTTGTCCTTGTACTTCTCATCAAAACTCTCATTGTCGTACTTATGTAAGTTATGTTTGATCGTACTGCTGGTTGGTGTACTACTCATCCTTCTTCTTGCCCTAGTCCCTCTAATAATAACCCTTCTTCGCGTACTTGTCGCTGTACTTGTTACCGTACTTGTTGTTGTACTTATGATACTTCTTGCTTTGCTTCTTCTTCCCATAGTATTTCTTGTTATAATTCTTGTAGCCATACTTCTTCTCGCCATACCCCTTCTTATTGTAACGGTTGTACTTCATACCGTACTCCTCCATGTACTTCACTCCGTGCTTCTGTCCTTTGAAATTGTCATCATAAAACTTGTTGTCATACTTCATGTTGCCCTCATCATAGTTTATGACCACATCGATGTCTCGGTTGCGGTACCTCTTCCCTATGTTGCCATACTTATTCTCGTAGTACTCGTTATAATACTCGTTGTTGTACCCGTTGCTGTACTCGTTGCCGTACTCGTTGTCGTACTTGTTGTCATACTCGTTGTCATACTTATTGTCATACTTGTTGTCATACTTGTTGTCATACTTGTCCTCGTACGTCCCCTGTTCACCATATTTCTTCTCGTCCTTGAAGTTCCCTCGGTCATACTTATTGCCGTCCTCATACTTCCTTTCGCCATACTTGTTCCCATCCTTGAAGTTCCCTTGGGCGTACTTGTAGCCATCCTCGTACTTCCCTTGTTCACCATACTTGTTCCCGTCCTTGAAGTCCCCTTCCCCATACTTATTGCCGTCCTCGTACTTCCCTTCGCCATACTTTTTCCCGTCCATGAAGTTCACTTGGCCATACTTGTTGCCATCCTCATACATCCCTTGTTTGCCGTACTTGTTCCCGTCCTTGAAGTTCCCTTGGCCATACTTGTTGCCATCCTCGTACTTCCCTTCTTTGTCATACTTGTTCCCTTCCTTGAGGTTCCCTTGGCCATATTTGTTGTCGTCCTCGTGCTTCCCTTGTTCACCGTCCTTGTTCCCGTCCTTGTTCCCATCCTTGTTCCTGTCCTTGTTCCCATCCTTGTTTCCGTCCTTGTTCCCGTCCTTGTTCCCGTCCTTGTTCCCGTCCTTGAAATTCCCTTGGCCATACTTGTTGCCTTCCACGTATTTCCCTTGTTCATCATACTTGTTCCCGTCCTCATACTTCTGTTGTTCGCCGTACTTGTTCCCATCCTTGTTCTCATCCTTGAAGTTCCCGTAGCCATACTTCTTGCTGTCCTCGTACTTCCCTTGTCCGTCGTACTTGTTCGCATCCTTGAAGTTCCCTTGGTCATACTCGTTGTCGTCCTCGTACTTCCCTTGTTCACTGTACTTGTTCCCGTCCTTGTTCCGGTCCTTGTTCCCATCCTTGTTTCCGTCCTTGTTCCCGTCCTTGTTCCCGTCCTTGTTCCCGTCCTTGAAGTTTCCTTGGACTTGCTTGTTGCCATCCTCGTACTGCCCTTGTTTGTTGTCCTTGTTCCCGTCCTTGAAGTTCACTTGGCCATACTTGTTGCCGTCCTCGTACTTCCCTTGTTCGTCGTACTTGTTCCCGTCCTCATATTTCCCTTGTCCGCCATACCTTTTCCCGTCCTTGTTCCCATCCTTGAAGTTCACCTGGCCGTACTTAATGCCGTCCTCGTACTTCCCTTGGTCATGGTACTCGTTGGCATCCTTGAAGTTCCCTTGGCTTGGTTGGCCATACTTGTTGTTGTCCTCGTACTTCCCTTGTTCACCGTACTTGTTCCCGTCCTTGTTGCCATCCTTGTTCGCGTCCTTGTTCCCGCCCCTGAAGTTCCCTTGGCCATATTTGTTGTTGTCCTCGTACTTCCCTTGTTCGCCATACTTGTTCCCGTCCTTGAAGTTCCCTTGGCCATCCTTGTTGCCATCCTCGTACTTCCCTTGTTCGCCGTCTTTGTTCCCCTCTGTGTTCCCGTCCTTGCTCCCATCCTTGTTCCCCTCCTTGTTCCCGGCCTTGTTCCCATCCTTGTTCCCGTCCTTGTTCCCTTCCTTGAAGTTCTCTTGGCCATATTTGTTGCCGTCCTCAGACTTCCCTTGTTCATGGTATTTTTTCACGTCCTTGAAGTTCCCTTCGCCATACTTGTTGTCATCCTCATACGTCGCTTGCTCACCGTACTTTTTCCCGTCATTGTTCGCGTCCTTGCTCCCGCCCTTGAAGTTCCCTTGGCCATACTCGTTGCCGTCCTCGTACTTCCCTTCTTCACCGTACTTGTTGCCGTCTTTGAAGTTCCTTTCTCCATAATTGTTGCTGTCATGCTTGTAATCTCCTAGATGCCTTCTAATGATGTCAGTTTCTGTTCCGACATTCTGAGTGGACGCAGGCGTCGTCCGTATGGACTGGCTCTTACTTGTATGGACTGCAAGGGACTGAATGACAAAACCAAGGATAATTATTCCAAGACATCCCATGGCTAATCCTGCCAATCTGGCCATGCCAGTGGCTTCCCTCCTGACGACCGCCATGGACTCCGAAGACTAAATGCCCACTCCTGATCACTTGTACTGGGCCCTTTTTTGTTGTTTTGATGGCTGGAGCAGGAGACTCGCTGCTGTAAAGAGAAGCAGATCTTCTCCTCAGCCCACTACTTCAAGTTGCAGCAGCTGGGGTGGATGATTTCTGCTTATTGCAGCAATGCGGATGGCCGTCGCGAACTCCATTACCAGTACCCTGCCATTCCTTAGTGAAGTGGCAAGGTCACGGCTGATGGCATATATATGTTTCCACCAAGAAGCTCAGGCTCTGCAAGACCTCCAGTTCAAGAAAGAGGGCCTTCCAAACAGAAGTTCCCCTTGTTACATCTCTCATGTCTATTCGCCATCTGAAGCCACTGCCAAGCAGGATTTCGGGCACAGAGAAGATTTACAACTGTATTCGGAATGGACACTGAGTGGATGTGTTATTATGAGCTAATTCAAAATTAATGTGTTGGAGTGCTGAGTGTGCACAGATGCAAATGGTGCAAAATAAATTTGAATAAATAATTTCTAATAAAATATTTCCAATAAATAAATTCCGAATACATAATTTTGAGTAAACCGCTTAGCAGTGCTTACATCCATCTCTGGCAAATAACGCCAAGTTGACGACTCCAAACTTCCAAAGTTCTGTTCACTGGTGGACTCGTGAAGAGCACACCGTGGTGGACTTGTGAAAGAGCACACACCACACCTACTATAGGCGCTGGAGCAATACAAATTGCAGTTGGGCACAGAATGTCAGGGACTCCTTTTAGTTGTGGCCTGTGCCTTTACAAAAAAAAAAAAAAACTAGGGGGAGTGCGGTGTTGAGTTTTGAATTCGCAGGAATAACAGGCCACTGCAAAAAAAAACAGCTTTGTGGACCTTTTTTTTTTTTTTTTTTTTTTTTTWAAATAGGACAACCATTCCATTATATGCCGGAAACCGGGTCCGGCGTCCCTTACATATGAACCGCAGCCATCCAGGGCTGGGAAAAGCACTCCCAACCAATCCCATCCCCCACTGCAGCCAAATTCCATCAAAGGTTACTCAAACCCTAGCCACTACTAAACAGCCCTGAACCGGAAAAATTTGAATCTACAACTTCTAAACACAATTAACAAAATTCCAGCTTTGTGGACTTCTACCTGGTAGGAAGTTCGAAAGTGCGAAAATCAGGCGGCCATTGTTTTTTTTTTTTGTTGTTGTTGTTGTGGTCGTGTTGTTGTTGTTGTTCATTTCTGAGGACACCATGCCGGTGCTAGGGCCATGGCCGAGATGTCTAGGCCACGACTGTGGCTGGGCCATGACCGAGAAGTCTAGGCCACAGCCGAGATGTCTAGGTCACACCCGTGGCTGGGCAATGGCCAAGGTTTCTAGGCCATGGCAAAAAGGGGTCTCGTCGCGTGGCTGGGCCAAAACAAGAAAAACAAGAGATGCTATGGTTGTGAACGCATCTGTAGGGAGAAGAAACAAAAAGGAAAAAAAAACAGCTACTGGAGCCAATACCGGTACCAGCCCCCCCCCCAAGCCCACGGGAAAACAACAGGTACCGGTGTGACGAACTACTTTCTGCAGCCGCACGATCTTCTGCGCGAGGCTACGTCGGGAATTGAAACGGGTTGAGTCGGGATGGCCTGGTGAATTGCGTGGATGCCYTTGCCTTACGCATCCTTGTGCTTTCGTGTCCTTTGGGGAAAGGGGGGAGGGCTGGCCTGCTTCAGTGACGATTGGTAGTTGATCGCGCCTTAGCAAGCGCGACGAATAACGGTTGCCATAGCTTCATTCTTGTTCTGCTGTGGGAATGGGGAATCTTTGGCGCGATAGTCGCGTGGGAAAATCCTTTTGAATTTTCAACTGATGTCAGGCCCCCACGGGCTCTCGGGAATTGCTTCGTTCGGAATTTCTTTTTTTGCAACTAGGAATTAGAATTAGGAATTTAGGCGCGCCTCAATTTCTGCTGCACTGCGCTTCTTGCTTGCGCACGCCATGCCGCGTCAAGATCTGTGCTCTGATTTCCTCGCCTTTTTTTCTTTTTTTCTTTTTTTCTTTTTTTTTTGGACAAATGCTCCAGTCTATTCGTGGGGAGCAGCACGTGCTGGGAACCGGGCCCAGCGTCCCATATAGAGTTGCACAAGTCATTTGAGATGCCGGGGCCATTACCCGGCTTCGGCTGAGAATCAATCGGAGAACTATTGAAGAAATTCAAGAGAATTAAAGGAGAGAGTAAAAACTATGAATGACTACTCACCTCTTTTCGAATGCTCAGAACCCCTAGACTCCCAAACAAAACTCTCTAAAACTGTCCAACACTATCTTATTCCCTGTCGAGCTCTCCCAGGCCTCACACCCCCACCTGGCTAGGTTACAGAGCAACATGACTCGCCCCAGCTCCGGCCAGCGTCGTCCCAAGAGCTACCCTTGGTTGTCCCTTGGCATGCCCACCCCAAAGCATCCCCAGATCTCTCTACCAGGCCTCACGCTCCTGGAAGCCGCAGGTTACAGGGCAACACCCCAGCACCGGCCAGCGTCGTTCTGGCATCGAACAACCGGACATCCATGAACGTATCAGTATCAAACAGCCTAAAGCGAGTTGCTAGAAGTCCCCAGAATCCTAAAACATTCTCTCTTTTTTTTAACAAAAATCAATGCTATTTGATGTAAATTTGGGCGACTATCTACCCTCAAACACTCTAAAGCCCCACAAGGTCCTAACACCCTCGAAGTCCTCAGACATTGACTTATTCCCTACCAAGCTCTACCAAGCCTCTCACCCCCTCTATAGGTTACAGGGCAAGGCAACTCACCCCGGCTCTGGCCAGCATCGTCTTCGATAGGAACCCTTGATTGTCCCGTGAAATTCCCCCCCTAGGCATTCCCAGATCTCTCTACCAGGCCTCAAGCTCCTGCTGTCAACACGTTACAGGGTCAACCCCCCAGCACCGCACAGCGTCGTTCTGGCATCGAACAACCGCAGGTCCATGAATAAAACAACATCAAAATCGCCTCAAGGAAAATGCAAGGAGTCCCAAGAGCCTAAAAGCGTTCTACCACAACCACCGAGAACAATCACAACCTCTAGAGGATAGTCATATCTGAACACATCGCCCGTTGTTTTTCTTTTTTTTTAACGAGATAAGACATGAGTGACATACAACAAATTGGAAGCAAAAAATCCAAACCGAAACCACCGACTGACAACGTCCCCGTGATCAGTCCTCAAACATAAACGCGGCAGGTCTCATAACCCCCTATGCTAGGGTTACAGGGCACCACCATGCCCCATTACCGACCAGCCTGGTATAGACGGCAAGGAGTACCTTCCTCCCTCGACAACTCCCACTAGCCGCAGGCCCCCAGGTGACAGGGATAAAACCCCAGCAACGGTTGCGTCGAATGTGGTGGTTCTGCCTTCCTCCCTCGACAGAACTCTCCAAGCCTCACGCTCCCCCAGGTTACAGAGCAACGCTCCAGCAATGGTCTGTGCCGTCCCAACCACGTCCTTCTGACCTACTTACGAAGACTAAGGCCCTTCCCCTGTTACACCCCCCTACTTAACTTCCCACCCGTCCGTCCGAATAATCTGTTTCCCTTAATCGTATGTTTTTTGGCTAAAAATTTAGTAAAAATACCTAGTTGACAATTTGCAGAAAAGTCAAGAAGACTTTAACAACTCTACTCAGGCTCACCAACACAATCATACTCTCTGCCTGAGTCTGCCCAGCCTCACACCCCCACCGCTAGGTTACAGGGCAACACAACTCACCCCAGCTCCGACCGACATCCTCCAAGCAGCAACCCTTGATTATTTTGTGAGATGCCCGCCCCTAAGCATCCCCAGATCTCTCTATCAGGCCTCATGCTCCTGCTTCGCAGGTTACACCGTTAAAGGGAAGCACCCCAACATCGAAAAACCGCAGATCCAAAATTATTATCGCAACAGACACACCTAAGAAGATTTGCTAACAGTCTCCAATAAGAGAAGCCTTGTCAGAGAACACTAAATGGGACATGGAAATTCACGTCGAGCAGAATTCATCACGAATCATTGACAAATTAGAAAATCGAATCATGACAAATTAAAAAATCGAATCATGACAAATTAGAAAATAGAATCATGACAATTTAGAAAATCGATCTACGGCGAAATTTAGAAAACCTATATAAACTATTTTTAGCATTTATGAATAGGATGTCCAAATAGGACTTTCAATAGGTTTTTTGAAAATCAACATCAGAGTATACGTATGAATTTCCTGCCAGCAAGTATAAAAATTTTACGAATTCAAATATCCGACTAAAATTGTTCTTTGGGAATTTGAGACAGAAAGTAGGTCATAAAATTTACCGGATGTTGTAATCTGAAGACTAATTTAGATGGTTATATGAGTACAAAGCAAAATAGTCAATTGTAAACTTTGACCATCAATTTATGAAAAAAAGGAAATTACGAATTGAGAATCAGTCAAAAATCAGACAGAAATCAGATCCTCCGTCGGATGTCGAGATCGGAAAATATTAGGAAATATCAAAACAGTAATGAGGCATCCCTAACCTCAAATCATGTAACGGAGTAGTACTTTAGGGTTAAATTTTGAAAAATGTTGCACTCAAAGCTTCCGTCACTACGCGATGCCGCCTTTAACTTTAACACCAATCACTGCAGACCATCACGCACCGCTCCGCTCCCGCAGTCCCTTTATCCAGTTGCCCGACCGCTTCCCAGACCAAACTCAGCCCCTGCCTCTTCCTATAGAGGGAGCCACTCTTCCTCCCCACAACCGGTGCTAGTATAGTCTTACGACAAAGTGCACCAACCAGCAGAGATTATTGGGACGCTCCCGCCTCCGTTTTACTCCCCGAACGTGGTTGCGTTATGAATGACCATGTCAAGCCCGTCAACACAGCTTCACAGAGAATTCAGTCCAGATCCAACGACCCATAACAGTAAAGAACCGAAGAAGCGAGAGACAGAGATTAAACACATAGGATAGAAGGAGTGGCGTTATAACCCTATGCCACATGCCCCCCCCCCCCCCCCCCCCCCCCCCCCCCTCCTTCCTACTCAAACCACACACTCCTTCTGTCTCCACATCCACGAAAGTCTCTAAGAAGCGCCATCGCTACACATAATATTGACCCGTCGTGCCCTCGTGAAAGCGTCATCGCAGCTTCGCGTCTCAACGCGCATTGGTACACCCGTTGTTCCGGCCAGAGCGGGCGCAACGCTCCCGGTAGCGTTGCGCCACGCCCGCTCATTCCATCGTGTATCATCCATCCATCATCCGATTTCTATGTGCCTTAATCCTGAATGTAACTGTAAATTTTATTTTGGCGGGCATAATTGCAACTGTAATTCCCTCACTCTTAGTACTTTTTGTGACGCCTTCGTACGTGCGTACTTCTTCCTCTGTCTTATTGGCCTGAACGCATGCATGACCGGATTGTTGTGTGGAGTGAGGCTACGCCCCCCACACTGCGGCTTGGCGATACGGTCGTACGCACTCCCTTCCTCCTTCTTCCCTGTACTCAAGCACAATCCCGGGTATTGCGCGCACACGCATGCATGCTATAAATTTCGTAAGAGCGATTAACTCGCTCTCTAAACATTTTTGGAAGTTAGCGAGGTTGAGAGGATCGGCTAACGGGTGGAAGCTGGCAGTTGAGTAGAGAGTTGGGCGATCCGACGAGCTGATGCTGAGCGTGCGGGGTTGACGTGGGGCCGCGACGGACTGTGGCACACGGCCGAACCTGGCTGACATGCTTAGATCAAGCAGGGTGACAACTGTGTGTGGGTGCAAGGCAACCGACTGCCCGCATCGGGGTGATGAGAAGAGAGAGAGAGAGACGGGAAGTGTGCGATGAGTCTCTTCTTCTATCCCTCCGAGCCATTTTGATTCTTCCTCTTTCCTTCTAAACAATTTTGGTATTCGGCGCGAGTCAACCCTCCTTTCCTTTTTGGATCGGCCTTTCAGACTTGTCATTTGCTCTTTTCTGTTGACGTCTATGTTTTCATTTGCTCTCCTCAGGTGTTGATGAATGGTTGTTTTCCTGCTCTCCCCTTCTCTGTCTCTTGATGGGTCTAATTGATTGATCCCCGACGATTGACCCTTGCGTGATTTCGGACTAATGGGCCAAGGAAGTGTTGCATGAACCTCGATTCAAAACTAGATGCATGGATGATAGGTGTAATCCTGCTTGTGCATGAACTTGATAGGCATAATAGACTATCGAAAGGTTACCTCATTATATGATGATCCGTCTTGCGAGCCACTGGTTTCCGCCCCTCTGATCGAAGGACAGGGTTCGTGTATACGCGTGTAAGTCCGGTCGAAGACGATCGCTGCCTACTCGCGTGTCCGCGAACCCTGAACTCGACTAAATCTCGAATGGTCGACGTTCCACCCCAACCTGCAACATGAATGTCGACGCCCCGTTTGCATCACTGACCGTGAGTGTTTGAGGGATCGAGAATTCTGGGGATACTGGGAGCACTCTCGCTTGTCTGCACGGCCCAGGGCGGAACCCTCAAACTTCCCTTACTTATCGGGGAACGAACGAATCTGCGAGTGGGACCTCGATCATGCCTTGGGACGTATTCCCTATCTCCCCCACTACTCTAACCCCCATACATATCACGTCGTCACGGAACCCGGGATCATTATCATAGGGACTAAGTTCCCTCCCTATCACCACATCCTACCCTATCACTTCCTGACCATCGTGCCCTGGCTCGCCATCGCCCCACTCCGGACAGCGGGATGACCAGGGTGGGTGGGCGGGATCAAGGATCGATCCCGCTCCGATACCAATGTGGCGGACCCACCGGGTGAGGTGCTCCGCCTGGGATACAAATGGAGATGGAGGATGAGGGAGGAGCGAGATGGCACAGCGCAGCTCCCACGCAAGACTCCAATGCATGTAATCCAAAACTGTGCGAATGCAGAATGATCTCACAAACAGACAACAACTGGGGTATACCCCAGCGGACTGACTTGACCGGACTGGACTGGCTGGTACCGACAGAGGTACCGACCTGGACTGGACTACCCCGAATATAACACAGGCCTGTGAGAACAGGCCAAGGGGCTGGTCTCACATGCCAACCAGAGATCCGCAACACGATCCTCGGTCTGTGATGGATCGCCTAGATACAAGCACGCTTCCGCCAAAAAGCGGAACTGTACCAAAGAAAAGGAAAACTTGAGTACTCTAGGATGCGGAGCAAGCTCCATGCTGAGTCCGTGCGATGCAACCTAGGATAGAAAATGTCACAAAAACAACAATGTCACAGCTAACAGCCTAAGTGAAAGCAGAAGCAACTAACTAACATACATGTCCTAGGGAAGCAGAAAGCAATGACAACTAAATCCTAGAATGTTGGAGGCAGTAGCCTCAGTCTGCAAACAACTGACTAGTGTATGAGTCCTAAGAACAGCAAAAGCAGAAACAACTAAATCCTAGAAATGTCAGAGGCACTAGCCTTTGTCTGAGAGCAACAAAGCAACAACAAGACAACCATATGTCACAAGAGGAGTGTGTCGCAAACCAAAGGGTGGGATGGTCTCTGAGGGTGGCAAATGCAGCCTAGGGGTCGATAACTCCTAAGGGCATCCACACATAATGACAGGGGGAACATATGTCATCAGGCTCAATGAGGGTAGGGAACTGGGAGCGAACAGAACCAATGACCCTAACAGATAGACCATCAGGGGGGGTAATGCTCGACTAAAGGGGTGACCGCTATGGAGGGTCGACCATGCAAGGGAACAAGGGAGCCTGGTATATTGGGCGCACCTGGATGAAGCATGCGAGGCTGCCTAACTAGGGCGTGAGGGCCGGCAAAGGGTAGAAAAATGATGGGTAAGGGAATCATGCAAATGACTCCTAAGGTGAGGGAAGTCGGAGCTAGATTCGTAAGTTGGGAAGCTAGGGCAACGCTACGGTCCCGATGCCTATGCGTATACCAAGGGAGAGCCCAACTCAGAGGAACTCGGCGAAGGGAGACCATCATGTGACACAACCAGGGTACTGTACAGGGTAAGGTGGTAAGAGAGCGACGACGTCTGAAGTAGGCAGAGTCGTGACGAAGTCCATGAAGCTGCCGATGACGTCCATGATGAGAAGTCCGGAATGGAGTCGAGGAAGAGTCACAACATCGACGAGCTGAAGTGGCAAAATTATAGTGGATGGAGTACTGAGAAGTCAAAGACGTGGGAAGATAGGTCGAAGTCAATCGTCGTATCGAGCAGGATGACGGCGAGTGCGCTGTGGACGCTCAGAAACATCCGGCTGCTGCTGAAGGTCTGCCTCAGATGGAGCAGGCTCGACTTCAGCGGTCTCCTCAACCGAGGGAGAAGGAGGAGGGTCAGTGGGCTGAGGAGGAGCAGTCAACCTAGCACGACGAGCACGGTCATAGGCACACACCAACATGCGAGCGTGCTGCAAGTGCTCGAGGGGCTCCCAAGTAACCTCCTCATCAGGGTAACCTTTCCAACGTACGAGATACTCGACGTGAGGAGGGTTGTCGTCGGTGACTCGACGACCAATGATGTCTGAAACGAGGAACTCCTCGTGGTCGTCCACCATGATAGGTGGAGGGCACTCGTATGGTCATCCAGCGAAACGCTCAGACGGTCTGCGGTACGGACGCACTAGCGAGACGTTGTAGACATCTTGCACACGAGCCTGGCGTAGGTAGTCGGATAGCTTCAGACGGAAGCTGACCGGGTTAGAAGACGTATCAGAACCGACGGCCTGGAGAACGCGGCATGGGCCAAAGAAGCGACGCCGAAACTTGCGAAGCGTGTCCGCTTCGAGTTGTAAGTGGCGGGCGTCGATAAGCACATCATCACCGACTTTGAATGGATGATCCATCCGCGATCGGTTCGCACTTGTTGCCATGCGAGTATGGAAAGCGGCTATGTGCTCCATGTGCGGTCTTCATGATCGACGTCATGTGTGCAAACCAATCATCCAGCGCAGGACAACTTGTGGCGGGGTGCATCTGTGACGGTCGAAGGAAGTCCGGGGGAACATGAGGGTGATAGCCGAGGTCGCAATAGTAAGGCGACATCCCCATGGTTGGCGAAACGGTGTGGTTGTAGGCTATCTCCGTGTGGGCAAGGTGGAGATCTCACTGCTGGTCCTCACGAACAATTTCTCGGAGAATATCTCCGAGAGTCCTGTTCGTGACCTCGGTCTGACCATCAGTCTAGGGATGGTAAGACGAGGATAAGCGAAGCTGGGTGTCGTATACCTCGTGAAGGCGTCGCCAAAATCGACTGGTAAAGCGCGGATCACGGTCAGATATGATGCTCAGAGGTAAGTCGTGGTCACGCATGACTCGGCCAAACATGATGTCAGCGACCTTTCGTGCACTGATGGCATAGCGGGACGGAACAAAGCGTGCACGCTTCGTGAAGCGGTTGACGACGACCAGGATAGCATCATGACCGCGGGGGGTCGGAGGACGAAGAGGACCGATGAAGTCCATCGAGATGGACTGCCAACGACCCTCAGGAATAGGAAGAGGGTGGAGCAAACCATAAGGCAGGTAGTTCGCACCGTCCACCTCTTGACAGGTGGGACACTCTGCCACGTAGTCCTTCACAAAGTCCTTGCGCTTCGGGCGGCTCACACGAGCCAACATTTTGTGGAAACCTATATGACCGGCGGCTGCCTGGTCATGGAACTCTGCTACTGCCCGGACACGTAGCTGTCCAGTGGAGGGAACACAAATACGGGGCTCTCTGGTGCCCTGTGAACTGTGCCACTACACAAGACCGTTGTCCCCGAGAGAGTAGTTTGGGACGGTCTTGCCACTCCGAAGGGTCGCATGGATGTCGCGATAGTCGGGGTAGTGGCAATACTGAGTGCGAAACTCGTCGATCACCGAGTGGTGGATGGTGGTGACCGAGATGGAAGCGAGCTGGATCTGCTCCTGATCGTGGTCAAGGCGCCGGGATAAGGCATCTGCGACCCGATTAGTCTCACCCTTGATGTGCTCAGTGGTGAAACTAAACTCGGATAGGTCGCGCCACCAGCGAGCCTGTCGAGGAGTGAGCTTCGGCTTTATCAGAAAAGCCTGGACAACATAGTTGTCCGTGAGCACCGTGAATGGTGCCCCGTGCAGGTAGTGACGCCAGTGTCGAGCGACATAAACTACTGCGAGAACCTCACGTTCATCAGCAGTGTAGTTTATCTCGGCGGGTAGAAGCTGACGGGAGTAGAAGGCTATCGGACAATCACATGAGCGAGACTCGACAGTGCCGTCCTCGGCGATGGCAGGAGAATAGTCAATAGAAGGCTCGTCAGTAGCTGGATGAGTAGGCGTCAGGCGGGAGACAATGGTAGGGGTAGGGTGTGAGAAGCGAGGGATAAGAGGGTGAGAAGAATCAGGAGAGGAGAGAAAATTTTGAGAAAACATTGTTCCTACAGCAAAGTCTGACGCATCAGTGGTAAGTATAAAAGGGCGATCAAAATCGAGTAGGTGAATAACCGGTGCACATGTCACCGCCTTCTTGAGGGCGCGAAAGGCATCCTTGTGGAGGGGTGTCCAAGCCCATGGCGGGCTCTATCGGAGGAGGGTGGAGGTAAGGACGTAGGAATACCTAGCGTATCCTTGGATAAAATTAGTTAGTGAGGCCTATGATGTTGCAAAGCTGCTTGGCGGATGTGGGGACGGGCCACTCCGCAATAGCAGTGATCTTCGCGTCGTCCATGTAAAGACCCTGGTCAGACACGTAGTGTCCTAAGAAATCCACTTTGTGCTGGGCAAAGCGGCACTTGCTCAGCTTGGCATAGAAGTCATGTTTGCGCAAGCGGTCAAGGACGTCGTGGAGGTGTATGTGCTCCTTCAAGGTACGACTGTAGACTAGGATATCGTCGACATAGACGAGAACATTTTGCTCCAGGATGTCCCTGAAGATGTCGTCCATCGCCCTCTGCAAGGTGGCGGGTGCGTTGGTGAGGCGGAATGGCATCACCGTAAACTCATAGTGGCCGAAGCGCGATCGGAACGCTGTTTTCAGCTGGTCTGCTGCAGCGATGCGGATCTGATGGCAACCGCTACGAAGATCAATCTTCGTAAAGAAGCGGTTGCCTGCCAGGCGGTTGAACATCTCGTCGGAACGAGGCATGGGGTAGCTGTTCCTAACCGTGTAGCGGTTGAGACTGCGATAGTCGATGCAGAGACGGAGAGTTTCATCCGCTTTGCGAGCAAAGAGGACGGGTGTACCCCACGGGGAGTTGCTGGGTTTAATGAAACCCTGTCTTAGGAGCTCCTCAAGCTGACCCTTGAGTTCGGTGGCCTTGGGGATCGAGAGTCTATAGGGTGCCTAGTGGTGAACACGATAGTCAGATACAAGCTGGATGGAGTGCTCAATGTCGCGCATCGGTGGAACGCCAGCGTACGAGAACGACGATGGGAAAACATCGTGGTACTCTCGAATGAGGTCACGAACTGCGGACTCCAAGTCGGCCGTATAGCGTGCGAGTTCCTCAGCGTCAGTGTCGGTGCGCGACGACGGGGTAGACTGGACGGACGACGGAGGGTAGGAAGTAGAGATGGGAGTCATGGAGATAGAAGGAGGATCTGGCTCCAGAGGGATGAGCTCGGCGTCGGGACAGGGTGGATCATAGTGTAAGAGATCCGTAACGTTCACCATAAAGAAGGTGACGTCGTCTTGTCGGATGAAGTGAGCGAACTGCCGAGGCGAGGTGAAGGTGATCGCAGGAGATGGTGTGGGCACGGAAGGCTCCGGGGGAGGAGGATCAGGGCGTGGTGTCGCAGTGGTACCTATGAAAGGTACGCGATACGTCTGTCCACACTTCGTTTTGATAACGAGAGTGTTGGTCGCCCAATCGGCCTCGGTGCTACAGAACCGACTAGACCACGAAGTACTGAGAATGAAATCGTACCCCGTCTCCATCACATCGAAATGTGCAGAGGAGCGCTGGCAACGAGACGCCAGGGGACGATCAGTCGGCTCGAGAGTGAGGAAGAAGGGGAGGTCAGTGACCGTCTAATCGAAGAAGCGTAGGGTCTTGTCATACCCTTGGGTGACGGAGATGGGAGTCGGCGACCCTGTCGTGGGTAAGCGGGCTTCTTTCACCACACGTGGGTGAATGAAGTCGCCCTGAGAACCGGAATCCCACAACGCTGAGTACACCCTCGTGGAGGTCCCCAGTCGTACTGGAATGATGGGGAGGGTGCGATCAGGGTCAGAGAGGACGGTGAGAAGGTGACGCAGTGCAGCGACATAGAGGGCGAGTCGCTCCTGACGAGCCTGGAGCATGCTTAAGTCCAGACGAGAGGACACAACGTCCTCGTGAGTCCAAGCTGCTCGCTGCAACGGGTTGAGCGAATGGCTCGACGCGTCGGTAGTCGCGGAGGGGTAGGAGGGGAGACGGTGGTCTGCGGAGGCGCAGACAGTAATGCGACATAGGGCTGAGTGCACTCTATCGGGTCCTGCGATACCTCAGCTCCAGTAGCGAGAGGGGCGAACCGCGACGGAGATGTCGGGAAACCTACTACAGAGGAGGGCGCAGGTGTACACTGCACCGTGGCTAGGAGGCGCTGCAAGGATGCGAGGTGTTAAAGGGGGGGACTGAGCACGATGCTGGCGCGAAAGGTCAGCATAGTGGCGGACAAGGGCGGCAGTGTAAGGCCACCGCGAGGAGGTATGACCGTCCTCGCGGCATCGCAAACACCCACTCCGGCCCAAAATGGCCACGCGCTCCTCAGCAGAAAAGACACCGCGAGGAGGGACAAAGCCCGGAGGGAGGTCCTGCAGAGGGACCTTGGGGGGCGACGCGACAGTGTGACCAAGGCGGTTGTGTGCCCGGGAGAGGGTGGAGAGGATGAGCTGGAGGCGCTCGGCCATAGGGAGAGTAGAGTCCTCCATGTGGTAGTGGACGGCCTCGCGGAGGTCGAGGTCGTCGCTATGGTCACCCTCAGGCGACAGTGGGGCAACAACGTCCTGCTCACCATACTCGAGCGTACTGAAGCGGCGCAAAAAGTGGCGGCCTTGCTGCGCGGAACGGTGGGGGCGGTCACGGAAAGGGGAACGACGCTGGGGAAGTGTCGTGGGAGGAGGAGGAGGCGTAGCCAATGCGCTGAGGCTGGGAGGAGGAGGCGGGGTGAAGACGGGCTCGCATCCGTTGATAGGTCCTAACGGCCTAGTAAGCCTGCGCGACCGATGTGAACTCGTACCGCCATAACTCATAGCGGTACTCAAGGGGAAGGCTGGCCAAGAAACGGTCGATGAGGGCAGCCTCAGGGAGGAACGCCACATCACAAATGAGGCGGGCATCCTGAAAGACCTGGATATGGTGGTCCAAGCCGGCAGCGCCACCAGAGCCGGACCACTGTGTGCTGACGACTCGCTCGAAGGCGCCAGTGACGTCATGTCAGGCTCCGAAGCGATCCTCGAGGAACGCCTGAAAATCCATGAAGGTCGGGGTCCAACCCTCACGAAGGGAGTGTGCGTAGAAATCCTCTCAGGCGTGGAAAGGACCGCCACGCCGGCGCGTGGAGAGGTGACCCACCTACGTGTCGGGTGGGGCGCCCATGAGCTGGAGCGTGCGGGTGGCAGACTACGGCCACCGGGACACGCGTATCCCTGTACCGTCGTACAAGGCAATGTCCGCTAAGCGGACGAGTGGTGCGCCACCGTTTTGACGGCGAGGGGATCGAGGAACAGAGGTTTGTGCTACGGCTGCATAAGTCGGCGCAGGTCCTGGGGAAAGGGGCGCAACTGGCTGTACGCCCGGGCCGCATGGGGGAGCAGCGGTGGCAACCGCGACAGGTTGCGAGGGAGCTGCGGTAGAAGAGGTCGCAGCAACCGAGGGAATAGGAAGAAGGTAGGATGGGGCTGGATAGGGTGCAGGGCGAGAGAAGCAGGTCTGTATGGAAGGAAAAGTAGAGGAAGGAGGGGGTGCGCCCGAAGGCACGGCCACTTATGAGGGTGGGGGTGGCTGAAGGCTTAAGAGGGCGAGGTCAGCCCGGGTCTGGGCAAACTCGTCCTTGGGATGTCGGACGTAGATCGAGCGAGGAGTGGCAGGAGGAAGAGTGGGGGAAGTGGATGCACGAGCAGCGCGGGGCATCACAGGGGGGAGAGGCAGGTGGCGTTGCGGTCGTGCGAAGGGAAGGGAGAAGCGGGGCACCCGGAAAAGCTGAGACCATGGCAGCGGGTTGTGGTCCCGTGGCCGTAGCGACCGAAATTTGGGCGGTGCGCCCGTAGAGTGGGGGAGGGTCTGGCTCGTGGCGGCCGTCGGGCTAAGGGCGTTGACGGTCACCAAGATGGCCGGGTCGGGGGCAGTGGAGGAGGAAGCTCCAGTGTGGTCATCCTGTCGGAGGACTGGGGACCCGGACTGGGAGCCAGGAGAAGAGAGAGAGTCAGGAGATGAAGGACAGGCAGCATCCTGAAGTTGCCGCATGTCGGCGACAAGGGTCGCCACCTGCGCCTGTAAGGGCACGAGGGTCGCGAGTTGCGTCTCGATGGGCGCGAGGAGGGAGGTGAGGAGGGTGTGCAGATCCCCTTGGGGCTGATGACCCTGATCCCCCGGCACGGGTGTGGAACCCAATGCCGAGGTCAACGCCGCGTCGGCGGCTTGTGACACGCCGTCGGCCATAGGGAGGTGACGGGCCGGACTGGAGGGGGCCAGAGGAGGTCCACGTGAGCGAAGGGCGTAGGGGGGGGTCTGTGGTAGAAAGCGGCGGACGGCGCTAGTAAGTCTAGCGTGGGTGTCGTCAAAAGGGGAGGGGTGGTTCGGGTCCAGGGTGCCCGAATGGGAAGGGAAGTAGGGGGGCTTAGGAAAACCCTAAACCCTAGAAAAGCCATAAGAAAACCCTAACCGGAGTTTGAGTGGTTAGGGTACGGTACCGGTGACCTAATCAAGAAAATAAAATAGCAAGCATGGGGGGGGGAGGCGGGAGGAAAATAAATAAACAGTGAAATTTCGAGAGAAAAATAAAAATAAATAAGAAAATAAATAAATAATTAAAATAATTAAAGAAATAAGGAAACAAAATGTGAGGAAAAAAATAATATTTATTTTTTTGAAATTTTCAGCAGCATTTCCCTACCCCCCATGGGGTCAAGAATGTGCCAAGGGAAAGAAGAGACCAAGATAAGCAAACTAAGTTTCAAAGTGCCGCAAATTAGAAATTTCAGAAAAGAAATAAAAAAATAATAAATAAAAAATAGAGAAATAAATAAATAAATAAGTAGATGAGGAGGTGAAGAGAAATTAAGTGTAGGATTTTTCAAAAATTTTGGCAACATTTCGTTACCCCCATGGGGTCGAAGTGTGTCGTCAAGAAGAAAGACTAAGTAAAATGGGAAAATTTCGGCAGCACTTCGTTACCCCCACGGGGTCAAAATGTGTGCCGAAGCAAGAGTTACTAACACCTAATCAGATTTAAGGGTGCCGCAAAGAAATTTGAATTTCAGAATTTAAAAAAAAAAAAAAAAAAAAAAATCATAAAATAAGAAAAGAGGGTGAGAAATAAGATCATTCGAATTTTTGGGAAAAGGGAGCAAATCATACTTGCGGCACACTTAACTGGTGCGTCGTGCGCCATGCGCTCACGGGTGATGTGTGCGCACGTGCGCACCGCGCGCACTGGCAGTGCGCTGTGGTGCGGCCGAGTGACCCCCATGCCCGCGC